GGAGAGATAAAGCAGCCTCCACCCCGTCTGACTGGGTTTATTACTGGAGGTTAGCTCCATTGAAGAAATAACACTCGTCCTTAAGACACAAACGCTTTTCCTCCCTGCACCAAATCCTAGGCAAAGGAAAGTCGCCGCAGAATGCAAAATGGTCTAGCCAGGGGGAAGTGACTGCTTTGTTTAATGACCCACTCACAAGTTGTTTCTGCATAAGGCTCATACCTCCCAAAGGTTTGACTCAACATGACTGCAGATGCAAAGGTACCCAGCAGATCTTAATATCTGTGCCTTAAAAGAAGCTATACAGTAGATCTGTGAAGGGGGGAAATGGGGTAATTTCCCTTATTTGATTCATTTTGATGCATGAAAGACGCCTCAAAGGGTTTCTGTTTCTCCTGCTTATTTTTTACTTCAAGCATTTAGGACTTGGAGAGCAGAGAGCTACACCAAGCAAATGAAAGCTGGATGCTTGGGAGGAGACAACATTTTTTAGCCTGATTGTTCCGCTTGGTTGTTAATATTGAACACAAGGAAATGTCTGACCCACACTTGAGAGGAAAGAGGTCTTTGCTGAAGCTTCAACATCCCCTTCTCTTCCATAAAGGGTGAGAAACGTTTCATGAGAAACCTTCTACCAGACCTCTCACCTCCAAGGAGAATTCCAGCAAAACCAGGGCACACGCATTTAACAAACTTAAGGTTAAAAAAATTAAAACAGAACACAACAAAAAACTCAACCGTTTAAGAAGGATAATCATGTAGTCAAGACTTTGCCACAGACTTCCTGTGACCTTTGGCAGCTCTCCTTGATCTTGTCTGTGGTAGAGAACTTCCTAAACATTTTGTACTGTTGCCATCATTAACAATGGGAACCCTAGTGTAGACAAAGCAAGGCCTACACGAATCTCTTGCAGCCACAGTAGCATTGAACACTGATTCGACTTGCTCTAGAATTTTTTAGAAACCAACCCTAGTATTTGGACAAAGCTTTAGTCTCAATGCCCCATCTGTAAAAATGAGGCCATAATCCTTCTGCCTTCCACCCTTTTGTCTACTTAGCTCATACTCATCAGGAGAGGGACTTGGGTCGTCCAAGTGTGTGTACAGCACCTAGCACAATGGGGGCCCGGGGGTGTCACAAAAGCAAAACATTAACCTGTTAGAACTTCTCCAAACATCACAAAGTAGCCGAAGCGTCCATTACAACGTTCTATCGGTCACCTTCTCCAAACCTGCTTCCTTTGTGAATGTCCATTTACAGACAGCACGTGGATTTTCAAAGGCCTGGAGCACAATGAGGCACTTTGAGACTCTCTCTCGAAGCCCCAAGTCCAGTATTCCAAAGAGCTCAGCTCGCACTGGCCAGCTCACTGGAGCGGCCGGGTGCTGCAAGAGCCCTAGGAAGACACACAGCTGAAATCCTGACAGTATCACCCAGGAGCCATGGTAGAGGCTCCGGCCTGGAGTGGGAGGGCTGGCTAAGGCGAGGAAGGACAGCTCCACTCCCAGCAGATGCTCCCTGCAGTAAGAGTGCCCGTATTAGACGTTGCAAAGACAGACAGCTCCCTTCCAGAGCCCAACCGCTCCGGAAGCGCCAGACTCTCCAGCCCTCTCCCAGTCGGCACAGGCCCTGGGACTTTGGCTCGTGTCTGAGGGGGTCAGGACAGTGCTATGAACAGTTGCAGAATTTCTGCCGGCTGCTGGCACCTGCCTCCTTTCTCCACCAGAGCTCGCTGCTGCCCCAGCTGAGCTGCACGTGCCTTCCCTCCAGGCCTGGGGAAGGAGCCGCTCTAGGGCAGAAATTTAGCCTGGGCCCTTTCCGCACGAGTCCCGAGGCTGCTGCGCTGATACTTGGCAGGAGGGGGACGCGTGTGCGGCTGGGGATGCAGCTGTCAGCGAGGCAGCGAGAGCCAGGGGCAGGCAGCCAGAGGGCTCACGAATCTCTTGTCGTTCTGCCCTGTAGGGGAAGGGACGGAGGCAGGAGTCCCAGGGGAGAACAGTCTCACAGAAGAACCTGGGCCTCTCACCTCCTCCACTGTTGTCCCACAGCAAAGCTAATGGCTCCTGAGCCTTTGCCCAGGACTTGCCATTAGGGTTACCAGGTAGCTTCACAAAAAATACAGGATACACTTGATCTCGGGGGAGGGGGGAACGGCACCGCCCGGGAGGGGAGCAGAGCTGGCCAGGAGGATGTGTGTGTGGGGGGGAAACCAGCTGGCGGGGGTGGGGGTGGGGGTGGGGACAGCAGGGCTGGCTAGGGAAGATTGGGGGGAGGCCGTCGGGGGCAGCGGGGCTGGCCGGGGGAAATGGGGGGAGGACCAGCCGACGGAAGCAGGGCTGGCCACGGGGGAGAACGGGGGGAGAGAATCGGCCAGTGGGACTGACTCGGGCGCACACAGATCCCAGGATGCTACCCGTCCCGTGCACGGGCCCGGCGAAGCTCGAGTGAGTCCGGCCCCGGGGATTCCCCGCCCCCCAGCGTAGTTGTGTACTGCCTGGCTGGTAGATACATCACGCAGAGTGAGCATGACGACCAGCCAGGCAGTTTGCAAATACGTACTGATACGCCTCATAATAAAACTGACCTAATTAGAAAATACTGGCCATTTTATATGTATTTTCTTAATTTTTTTCCCCAGACAGACCCCTCAAATACCAGAGTGTCCAGTTCAAAAGCAGACACCTGGCAACCCTACTTGCCATACTTGTCTAGGCAGGAGGGGAATGTTCCCAGGCGCTGTTCTCTCACGGCTAGCTAACAGTGAGGCCCACAGGCTCTCCAGAGGCCAGTGGCGGAGATAAGCCGGCCATTGGCAGGAAGAACCGCAGACACACGCGTTCCAAGCCCGCCAGTCACATCCCGCTCACAGGGTAGTGGGAAGCAGGCGAGGGCCTCTCTCGCCAGGCGCGGCGATGGGCCTGTGTGTGGAGACGTTCCCAGAGGGGCCGGGCTCCCCAGCCCCCCAGGGTCTGTCCAGGTCAGGCGCTGCTCTGTGCAAAGGAGGGTCCCAGAGAGCGGGAGGCGGGGCCGCGACCCTCTGCGAGCTGCCTGTGGTAAATGGTGATTTGGGCAACACCCCCCTCCTGTTGGGAGCCTGTCCCCCTTTCCCAGCCTGCCTCAGCCAGGGGGCGCCTGCCACGGAGCACCCCTACGCCATGGCTAGCGTTGCTGCTGGGTACCAGTCGCCCCATCCGGAGCTCCACGCAGCAGGCAGAGACACCTAGTGGCTACCTGATGTACTGCACGTAACCTGGCTCTTGCTTTCCCGGGGGCCTGCCCCCATCCACGTCGGGGGGTCCTGTGTGGGCCTCAGCAGCAGCCTGGCGTACAGGGAGGCTGGGCAGCAGCAGGGATCCCTGCTCCGGGGGGCAGGCTCGCTGTGTTCAAGGGACATGGGGCAGTGGGGAGGGAAGGGCTACAGGCAGCACTCACTGCAAGCCATTGGAAACAAGCCTCAGAGCCAAGAGCCGCGGAGCGAGGCTTCAGCCTCAGACAACCCGTTCCCTCGCCTCACCGTGCGGTGCCCTGCCGGAGGAGCGGTCCAGACCCCTCCAGGAGTACGGCTGGGAACAGGGGCGGCAGGTTTGTATAATTTCTGGCAGTGCCCAGAACAGGTGCATGTCCCACCCCTCTGGGAGGGAGTTTGGGTGCAGGAGGGGGGTTGGGGTATGGACTCTGGGCTGGGGCGAGGATGGGAGTTTGGGGTGCAGCAGGCAGGCTTCTCTGGGGCAGAGACGACGCCCCCCAGCCCTCTCCCCGACAACAGCAGCGAGCTCTGGAGGAGGGGTCCCCTCTCTTCCCCCTCCCCCTGGCATGACACTCATCCACGCC